CTTTTTGCCCATCTTCCAACACTGCAGGCACCTCTCCTTGCTCTACTTCATAGGCTCCAATGGCATCTTCCCAAAGAGACCATGCTTTTGAAATTGCAACATCCATTTCCACCCCCACAGTATTCCCTGTACCCTTAATTCTATTTTATTTTTTTCCCTAACAGTTCTCAACATTTAGATACTATATTTTTTGTTTGTGGGCTTCTTTCTTTATTGGGTTTTATTTATTGTTTTATCCCCTTCACTCTGGAATATAAGCTCCACCAGATCAGGGTTTTTGTGTTTTGTTCCCTTGAATTCCTAGTGTTAGAAGAGTGTCTGTAATGTAGTAGACATTCAGTAAATATTCAATGAATAATTTTGTATGGAAGAAAGTGAGGTACAGAGAAGTTGAGAAATTTATGTAAGGACACACAGCTGGTAAGTGGGATTTAAACCAACTCTGCATAATCCAACCACTAAATAACAGCACAGTGTCTAAGGCTGAATTCCTCAGGGGCAGACTCGCACACCAAGATTTGCTACAAGAGGCATGTTAGGGAACTATTCCCAGGAGGAGCCTATAAGAGAGTGGGGAAACAGGCAAGGAAGAGGAGGGAGTCAAGAGGCCTCAGGCAGTCCTGGAGAGTATAATTTCTTCCTGATCCCACTAAGGCCCTCTGGAGTAAGTGTCACACCTCAATTCAGAGGAGTCCTAATCAGACCCAAAGCAAGGAGCTGAGCCTAGCGGCCCTTGACAATCATTGGTCAGGGGCTGGGAGATGGACAAGGTGGACATTCTGAAGCCCTTCCTTCCGGCTCTCTGTGCATAAGGGCAAAGAAGTTGCTCCAGTAACCTGACAACAGTTAGGGCTTAGTGGGGAAAGGATACCAGAGGATAGGAAGCTTTTGGAGTAGAGGGAGAGCACTAACATGTGTGCTACAGTGATCCTTCCATGTTACTCATAATACCTAAATCATGGCCCAAGTCCATGTCATGGCCTCAGACTCCAAATAATCTAGCCTCTGTTAACTGTTCAAGCCACATCTTGTATCACTGCTCCCCTGCTTACTGTGAACTAGCAACTCACTGACCACAGGGCCTTTGCACCCACCATTCCTTCTAGAACATTCTCCATACAGTTTCCTTTTAATCTTTCACAGGCCAGCCAAAATACCCTCAAGGAAACTATCCTTAAGCACTAAACCATCCCAACACTTTTTATTTCCAAAGGAAAAAAAATCCTTATCATAATCTGTAAATATTTTTTTCTTTATCTGTGTTTATATTCTGTTTCCTCACTAAAATATAAGGCCCATCAAGGTAATAGCAATGTCCATTTGCCTACTGGCAATAGCCCTAGTGCCTGGCACATTATAGGTTCTCAAAATAATCCCTTGAGTGAAAAGAAACACTGAAAGAGAAATCACTAACCATGCAAAGCCATGTAGGTAGCTGCATCTACCTACCCAAATCTGTTTGAGTAGATCTTCAAAAACTTAAATTAGTTATCCAAATAAAAAATAAGTCCAGAAAGATAAGGACATATTAGTTTGGTTAGTATTGCCACTTCTTAATTTGGTAATTTTAGCTACAGATAGGCCCAGCTGCTTTTCACCCTCAGAGAAGTCATCAATTTAGATATACTACATAAGACAAGAGGCTAAGATCGAGAGCTAACAATAAAAAGGCTTTATCAGCCTATAATTTTGCTAGATTAGTTAAAATTACCCATACTTCAAGCAGAAGCAGCCCAGAAAAAGTACAGAAGACTCCCATACTCTCCAGCCTCCATTAACTTTCTCCTTTGTCTCTTTTGTGAATTAGAAGATAGTGTACCAAATGGAATGTAGATGGAGCATTTTTATCTTTTCTTGTCTCAACAGTGAAATAAAAGCCATTCTCCTACCCAAAATAAAAGGAAATAGTAATTTCTTGTCTCAAAAATTCAGTTTCCTGATGCACACAAATTTTACAACAGATACAAACAGGAACACAGAACATGAATTTTAAGAACTCTCTGAGGCCAAAACAAACTTCTAGTTTGTTGTTTTGACTACATAAGCTTCAAAGAATTATTAATGTGCCGTCTGATTTGCCACCAAGAACAAAAGCTTCCGGGGTATGTAGGCTACAAACATTTCCAATTTTCCAATTTTAATTATTTCTGGTAAGAGTAATCTTAGTAATTTCTTTGAAAGAAACACGTATTATCTAATAACACGACTAAGAATTCTTCTACCTAAATTTAAATTTTTCTCCTTTTAATCCTAATATTAAAATGCACGCGTCAACTGGGCTTCCATCTTATGTCATTTTATATATATATATATACATTTACATACATATACATATATATACATACATTTACATATACATTTTACATATATGAGTGTGTGTGTGTGTGTGTGTGTGTAAAATAAAACCAGAATAGGATTAAATTGCACCCTTTCTTCAAGGCCAAGCTCAACCAGCATCATTCTAGGTAAACTTTCCCATTCCCACAGCCCTAAGTAATCCACAATACCTTTCTTGAAATTTCCAAAATACTTCTCCCTCTGCCTTCGGGTACTTAGCTCCTTCTGCCACATATTTTCATGATTCTTTAAGCGCATCAGCCTCCTGTCCTCTCTTGGATAGCAGTGCAGTGTATGGTCATAGGCAGTGCTCTGGAGCCACACTCCTGGCCTCCCTGACCAACCAGCATCATGGGTATGTATGAATCTTTCCATGAGTGGTATAAGGAACGCAATGTTCTTTAATTCAACTTAATCTGTGTCAAGGCCTCACTCCACCTGATTCAGAAGTTATCTAACCAATTTCAGGTTTTCTCAATCAGTTCAGGGCTCTCTGCCTCCCCCATCAGAAAACAGCTGCTTCCTAGCACTGCATCTGTGCTGGGGGAGGTTGGGGAGGGGTGCCAGCAGTTGTCACCAGCCCCCTCTGGCACCGTGGGAGGAATAACTTAACTCATCTGCATCCAGTTCCAGCGGCCTGCCATGCTGACCCACGCTGAGCTGTCTGCACTCCCACTCAGCGGCCTCCAGATATGGTGGCCCTCAGGGTTGTGGCTAGTTTCTCCTGGCTGTCTGTAGGCAGGGTGGCATTGTCCTGGTCATTTTTGTATCATCATAACAAAAAAGTGACAGCCTTGCTCTTCTTATGCATACTCAGATGTACACTATCTCTCTGAGCCCATATATATAAATAACGTAGAAAGCTGAAACACCAACTGTGCCTTTATACCAAAACTACCACCAACAAAACAAAACAACCAAAAAATAGGTGTCGGGGGACTTAAAGGAATATAATGAGAAAATATTTTCTGCAACATTTGTTTTTTAATACTAATTTTTAATATCTGTTTATCAAAGTCATACCTGTATAATCATGCCAGTTGCAAGCAGCAGTCCCCAGGCCCATCCCCTCTGCCCCCAGACTCAGCCCCTACCTGTTGCTCCTGGAGCTCCAGAGAGCTCTCCAGGCAAGATGCTCCAGGAGCTCTTTATCAATTCCCTATACCTCACATGAACTTCACTATTAACATCCCCCACAGTACTGCCCCCCCTCCCCGTCTTCTCTCATTGTCCCAGTCTGTAAGCCTTTCTTTTGTCTTTATTGCCTACTGATACTACCCGGACTCCTTGTTCTATCTAGGAGTTTGTAGTAGTAGCCTACATACCTGGAAATTTTTGTCCTTGGTGGCAAGTCAAATAGCACATTAATAACTCTTTGAAGCTGCTGTAGTCAAACACAAGCGTTTGCTTGCCATTTAGTATGTTAAACTGTTGGCTTTCTGGTCTCTCAGCTACCCCTCCCCCGCCATCCGCCCTTCTCTGCCATCTTCACCTTCTTCTGTCATCCTTAGCTTAACTGTGTATAAGAAAATTGATAGCATGGATGCTGCTCTGTAACCATCATCTGGTCTTCTGTGTTCTGTCAATACATTGTTCTAGAAAAGGTACAAAATCTTCGGTTAAGCAACTGCCTTTAACTCAGGTGATCTCCCTCTTCCCCTGCCCCCTGCCCCCACTCATGCTCCCTCTCTCGCTTGCTGTCTCTCTCAAATAAATAAATAAATAAATAAATAAATAAATAAATAAATAAATAATCTTTTTTTAAAAAGGAAAGAAAAATATCTTCATGGGATCCCAGGGTGGCGCAGCGGTTTGGCGCCTGCCTTTGGCCCAGGGCTCGATCCTGGAGACCCAGGATCGAATCCCACATCGGGCTCCCGGTGCACGGAGCCTGCTTCTCCCTCTGCCTATGTCTCTGCGCCTCTCTCTCTCTCTCTCTCTCTCTGTGACTATCATAAATAAATAAAAATTAAAAAAAAAAAGAAAAATATCTTCATTTGTCATGTAAGATTCTCATTGCCCTTGAGGATTTTTTTCTTTCATAGGAAAGATGATTCGCAGGTTTATTTTGGTTTTTTACAGTTACTAACTTTGCAAAGCTTTGGCAAAGAATGTTGTTTTTGTTTGTTTGGTTTGGCTTTTTTCCCTTTCAGTTTTATTGAGATATATACTTAGCACTATATAACTTTAACATGTACAACATAAGGCCTGCTCTTTGAGGGTTGCTTTTTAATCACCAAAGCCCAGGAGGTTAGAATTCAATGCCACCTTCCTCCCTGTCTTCTGCTCATCCAACCAGGAACAAATGGAAGGGACTGCAGACACTGGGCTGTATTCAGAAGACCTGCTAACTGTGTCTCTATTAGTCATGCTCCAGGATGAGAACAAGAACACATGTTCTGGACTTTGTGACTGAAGAGGGTCATTTGGGCTAAAACCCCAACTATCAATGTGAAGATGAAGAGATGTGCAAGTGTTAAGAAAAAGAAAACAAACTGTGATCATTACACAACAACATGTACCTGCCTGACCATGTACAGAGTCAGTACTTAATAGCAAGGAAGGCAGTAAATAGAGCTCATCGTTTTAAACTGCCAAAGATTGCTTATATCTATTCTCTCCCATTTTCCAGCTGGATAGCAAGAGCTTAAAAGTCAAATAAGAATCACAAACTGGACTCTGGACTCTGCTTACCTTAACTGTCTTCTCTACTTCCTCTGAAACCACATCTGACAAACCCAATCTGGCTGAGATTGAGAAATTCAATAAGCCAAAATTGAAGGCAGAGATGGAAGAGACAAATCCACTGTTCTGCAAAGAAACAGTTGAACTGGAAAAGCGAACACAGGAATCCTAGTGACACATGTTACCAATAGACACTGAACTTTCCACAAGCATTGCCTTCTTATTTTTACTCCTTTTACCCATTTAACTTTGTTCAGATGCAAAGAGATTGGGTCAGATTTTTAATGACAGTGCTGCTCCTTTTCATATCAAAGAATCAAAAACCATGGACAAGGAAGGCCTGTCTCCTCCAGGCAGGTCTGGCTGGCAGGGTAGGAAGGTCCTTGAATGTGGGTAAAGCAGCAACTGGGTGGCACCGCAGTGAATTTCAAGTAGAAACCAAGCTAGTCCAAGGTGTCCTACAGCCTGTAAAGTGCAATTCAACCAGACTACCCTTTGTTGTTGTTGTTGTTGTTCAAATGATTTTAATTATTGAAATGCTTAGTTTTTTAAGTGTGCAAATAAAACATGAATAGAAGTTTAAAACATGAACAGGCATCAGGGTGGCTCAGTCAATTAAGCATCTGACTTGGGTTCAGGTCAGCATCTCAGGGTCCTGAGATAGAGCTGGGGTCCTCTACTCAGCTCTGAGTTTGCTTGTCTCTCTGCCCCTCCCCTTGCTCATGCTCTCATGCTCTGCTCTCTCTCAAATAAATAAATAAAATCTTTTTAAAAAGGTTTCAGACATAAAGAAAAAAGTCAGACAACCTGGCTTCACATCTGTGCATCACTACTTCACACTTTAGCATTCCTCAAAGACTTGATATTGATGCAAAGATAAACCATTATTGACAGGATTACAGTACAGGTATGGCTGTGGTTCCAGAGTTTGGGAAAGTGGTGCCTTATAAATGCATAAAATGATCCTAAATGGACCCTGTCTCCCTCATCCACTGTCTTTGTGAGCTTAGGTCAAATTAATCTCTCAAAGCCTCAGTTGCCTTGTCAACAAGACAGAGATAATTACAGTATTCATGTCATAGGGATACTGCAATAATTAAATGAAATAAAGCACTTAGCACAAATCTGGCATTTGGTAAGCACTCAGTAAAAAATAACTATCATTCTTCACACTATTCTTTATATTCTTATGTGGCCCAGCCTCTCTGGGCGGTGGCTACTGTCGCCTTTAAATCCCAGACTTAAAGTGAGCGATGCCTTAATTGTGTTATCTTAACTCATGAAGCCTGTGTTCATAAAATATAGACCAGTGCTGCAGGCTTAGATACAAAATAAGAAAATAAGAGATACACTGGGTGCATTTAAAGAAAGTGAATGTTGAGTACACTAATTTCATTTACATGGACAGAGCTATCTGCTCCCTGGAAATATTCTTCATAACAAGACACATCTCTGGGCAAAGTGTGTTTCCCTTAAAAAACCTGAATACTATATTTAGAGTGAACAATACTTATATAATCTTATTTGTAATTTACTGTCTACAATTCCCCAGGCACTATACTATGTGTTTTCCAAACCTTAAGATGTAGGCATATTACACACGCACACACACACACACACACACACACACACTCATGCGCACATGCACACGCACACACTGACAATCATGTGTTAAATTATACACCCAAAGTCAAACAGCTAGTATATGATAAAAACCAGACCATAAGGCAGATCCATCTGACTATAATATCTGTGTTTCATTTCATTATCTATGTTCTTATAAACTCTAATTGATTCTAAGTATGTGTGTATTAGTCACCTCTGAATCTCAAAATTTTAAAATAGCTATGCATTGTGGGTCTTAAAGTAATAAAAGCCCATGACATTAGAATGGATGGGGTGATTTAAATGATTTTTCTTTGTAGATTTAGTACATACTTAGGAAACATTGGTAAAGCAAGGTTAAACTGAATCTGCCACTGTAACAAATTTTAAAAATAAAAAACTCCTGGACTCCCTTCCCCTCCATGAAATCATCTGTTACTTCATAAGGTACCCTGGAAAGATGAGAGGGGAATCCACAAGGAAGTAAGTGGAAAAAGGACGAAAAATAGCTTTTAAAGGTTTCTCTGAATTCCTCATTACTGGTAATGCTATTTGCTAATTTTGGAAGAATCAATTCCAAATCTCTTGAATTCAGTTGGCTAAAAAGAGAGGAAGAGAAATTATTAGACCTCTGCTTAAATTACTTCCTTATAATTAAAAATTCATTTGCCCATGATTCTATTGATTCTTGTGGCTAATAAAGATGTAGAATAATAAATTATTTTATATACAATTGTTAATCCAGGTAATTGCATCCAGGATAACTCTATTACTGGGATGGCTTTATGACTGATTTTTATATGTCACTAACAATGATTCATGGCTGATATAAACCAAGCAGAGTGCAGACTGTGGGCCTTTTTACTTTCTGTTTATAGAATGAGCATCGAGGCTGAAATATCAAACTTCTCTATGGCCGCTGCATCAGTGGTTTCAGGTTTCCCTTAAACTTCGAAGATGATCACAATCATATAGTGCTAAATACTTCCCACAACAGGAGCTTATGATTTCCTTTAAGTCCTGTTAAAGACTGTTAAAACCATTTTCCAAGTTTAGGGAAGTCTCTCATGCTTTCTTCCAGATTATGAACCAGATCCCCTAACATCCAAGGTCTTGGGCAAAACTTCCCACTAATAATTTGAATGCCTCCTTGTCTTTTTTTTTTTTTAAGACTTTATTCATTCACTCACGAGAGACACACACAGAGAGAGAGAGAGAGAGACAGAGAAGCAGAGACACAGGCAGAGGGAGAAGCAGGCTCCATGCAGGGAGCCCGCTGTGGGACTCAATCCCCGGACTCCAGGATCACGCCCTGGGCTGAAGGCAGGAGCCAAACTGCTGAGCCACCCGGGGATCCCGCCTCCTTGTCTTTTGATCCTCCTTTTCCCTGAAGTCTTCACCACTTTACTAAGGTATCTTGGAATACTGTCCTTCATGTATTCCTTGCTCCTGGTTCCTTTCAGACAAATCTACTAAAACATCAAAGGAATTCAAAGATTTCACAACTAATTAGGCTTATAAATGGTTCTCAAACATCAAAATTCTCAGTGTAAATAGGGACATATGACTTTAGAACAATTAAACATCTCTGGAGTCTTCCCAAGAAACTGTACTGATCATGAAATTCTAATACTAAAGGCATGCTCTGTTAGGGAATTTAAGTATAAATGTAAATGTGTAATATATAATTATATGTAATGCATTTTATCTATAACACAATATAGATAATACACATTAGGATGTTTATACATGTATTTCTTTTTGCTTTAAAGATTGGATGTTTCTGTACTCTTTAAGAAAATCATCTCTAAGCATATGTGGTTTGTACAGTTTTGACTACAAATTCTTTATGGATTTTCTTCTTCTATTAGTTACTTTAATTTTGATATAACTGTTCAATAAGGGAAGTGGTTTTCTGAACTTCTACTTTATTCTACTCAGGTAAATGCATTTTCTCAACAACTGAAGACAAAAATGAAGACTTAAGGACTGTTGTCTGCTCTCATCCATGAGACTATATTCAATCACAGATAGGGCCCACAGGGTGGTTATATAGGAAGGGTATTTTCAGGAAAAGATAAATTAGGAGACATTGCTTAAAATATCTCCAAAAAAGTCACTATGCAAAAGGAAAATGATTTTTTAAAATGGAAGTGGGAAATAGGACATGTTCATTCATTTGTTCAGTTAACATTTATTACCTACTATGATCAGGTATTATTTTAGAATGGATTATAAAGTGAAGAACAAAATTTATGTGTTCTCTGCCATTAAGAAATGTATATTCCAATTAAAGATACAGTTACAGGCAAACAATATATAAACACAACTTGCAGTGAAGGTAATGGAATCATAAACTTGGTACAATGATAGAAAATTCAGGACATAGCCTCCTTAGATGCGGTGATCAGGATAGCCTGATACTTAATTTGAGAACTGTACAATGAGAAAAGAGTAGCTATGAAAAGTGCAGGGGGAGGAATACTTTAGCCTGGAGGTCAACAAACATTTGGTAATGGGACAAAGACTATTTCATGTTTTGAGAGCCATTTGTTCTCTGTTGCAACTACTCACCACTGCCATTGACAGTACATAAACAAATGGGCATGGTTGTGCTCCAGTAAAACTTTACTGACAAAAGCAGGCTGTGGGCGACATTTGGCCAATGGGCTATAATTTGTCAACTTCTACTCTAGTCACACATGATATGGGCAATGACTGGGGAGGTATTGCTGTATTCAAGGAACTGATAGGATACCGTATGGCTAACATAGAAAAGTGGAAGGGAGGGAGCATGAAATGAGCTTGAAGAGGTAAGCAGGACTCAGGTTATTCATGGCTTTGGAGGCCAGGGTAAAGACTGGATTTTATTTAAGCAACTTATAGTTTTAAGCATGGTGATAACAAGGTGCCTTTTGTGTTTTAAAAGCTCATTATAATTCTTATGTGGAGAATGGACTAGAAAACTATTGAAGAAGTAGTTCTGGAGATGCCATCATGGCCTGGATTCACACGATGGCAATGAAAATGGGAAGAAGTGAATATACTCAAGAAACACTTAAAAGTGAGGATCCTAGTTGATGGATTGTATTGGGGTGGGAACATGATGATGAAAGAGAGGGGAAAACTAAGTGTGATGCTCAGGTTTCTGTCTAGAGCCATTGGATTGACTATAGGTACTCAAGCTGAGCTAAAAAATTTCAAAAAGTTAGACTGGAGAGACAAAAGTGTGGCAAGTTAAGTTTAAACTATATTAGGGAATATCTTAAGTAATGAGCTATGGAGATTGCATTTGTCTTAGTAAAAAATAGAAAGTTACTGAAGAATTTTGAAGAGCAGAAGAGCTTAACTAGAGATTTGCTATGTTGCTGTGGGCAAGGTAGAGGGATGGATATGTCAGGAGGTAAGGAAAATTGTTAATAAATGTTTGAAATCTTATTGAAAGAGATAACAAAGAGCCAGTCCAGGCTTAATAAGTGTTAGAAACGGTAAGAAAGAGGGATGCCTTCCTTGGTGGCTCAGCAGTTGAGCATCTGGCATTTGGCCCAGGGCGTGATCCCAGAGTTC